TTTTTGCAGCAATGTTATACTGTTGACTCTTATTTAGCTTGTAGTACACTATGGCTGTGTCTACACTGGCAAGTTATTCCGGAAAATCAGCCACTTTTCCGGAAAAACTTGCCAGCTGTCTACACTGGCCGCTTGAATTTCCGAAAAAGCACTGACGATCTAATGTAAAATCATCAGTGCTTTTCTGGAAAAACTATGCTGCTCCTGTTCAGGCAAAAGTCTTTTTCCAGAAAACTGTTCTGGAAAAGAGCCAGTGTAGACAGCACAGTAGTGTTTTCTGCAAAAAAGCCCTGATTGCGAAAATGACGATCGGGGCTTTTTTGCGGAAAAGCGCATCTAGATTGGCCACAGACGCTTTTCCGGGAAAAGTGCTTTTCCGGGAAAAGTGCTTTTCCGGAAAAGCATCCTGCCAATCTAGACGCGCTTTTCCAAAAATGCTTTTAACAGAAAACTTGTCCGTTAAAAGCATTTCGTTTTCTGCAAAAAAGCCCTGATTGCGAAAATGACGATCGGGGCTTTTTTGCGGAAAAGCGCATCTAGATTGGCCACAGACGCTTTTCCGGGAAAAGTGCTTTTCCGGGAAAAGTGCTTTTCCGGAAAAGCATCCTGCCAATCTAGACGCGCTTTTCCAAAAATGCTTTTAACAGAAAACTTGTCCGTTAAAAGCATTTCCGGAAAATCATGCCAGTGTAGATGTAGCCGGAGAGCCCAGATCCCTTTTTGCAGTACTCAGTGAGCTGGGAGTGCAGAGTCAGTGCTTGGGGGAGGAGGGATGGAGGCAGTGTGCCTGCAGAGCTGCCTGGCTGTGCTTCTGCTAGCAGCAGCAGGGATGGGGCAGTCACTTCCAGGGAGTGCTGGAAGTGAATGCCTCACCTTGCTCCAGGCCCCCTTCCAGACTCAAACTCCCTCCAAGAACATGCCCCACAGCCCTTCCTATGCTCCAGACTTGTACCCTCCACACTAAAAAACCAGACTTTCTGTGCAGATCAGACATGCCAGTTGTTTGAAATTGGTGGATGGTGAAGTGCTGGATAAAAGGAATTTTACTGTATTCACTCCATCTAGATTGTATTTCCTTAGGATGCTTTTTAGAAGGTCATATGAGGCAATGTCAAAAGCTTTATTAAAGTCAAGATATATCACATCTATCCATTCCCTCCTATCAGCAGGGCTTGTTACCCTGTTGAAGAAAGCTATTCGATTGACGTGATTTGTTCTGACAAATCTATGCTGACTGTTACTTATCAGAACTAGATTTGGAAATGCTGTCTTTACTTGACATTTAAATAAGTACATGATTCTGTCTTGGATATTTCTAAGCTCTTGGTCGATGAACCGAGGGCATTATATAAGATTTTGACTCCATCAATTATTTTTGCCATTTCACTACATGGGATAAGTGGCTGGGGCCTGCAGGTTAACTGTTATGAATCCACGTAGTATTGTTCAGCTGTGTTCACATGATGCAATAAGCAATTGGCCCTGCTTGCTGGTGTAATGATCTTGAGACACATCCAGACACTTTTCATGAAAGGAGTTATGCCATCTTCTGTTGCTGCTTTGACAATAACAGACATGTTGGTGACCGCTTACAAGCAGTCTGTCATAGTGGGATCAGGAAGTCTTGTATGTAGCAACATACATATTTTCAAACTGTCAGTAAACCTCTCTGTCTTCAGATCTCAAGATCTAGAGAAACAAAAAAAGCAGTCATGTAGTACTTTAAAGACTCACAAGATAATAAGATCACCTAGTGAACTATCTTGTGAGTCTTTAAAGTGCTACATGACTGCTTTTTTTTGTTTTACCAAGATCGGACTAACACGGCTACCTCTCTGTGACTATTCATCATGCAAGATCTAGAGAGTCTGCTTTTGTTTCATATTTTTCTGAAGCACATCAACTTCCTAACGTGGAGGGTTGAAAAGAGTTGAGGAAGAAGGCACAGATGTTTATTGTTTCTAGTGGATACTGAAACTTGCAACTTCTGTGTTTTTATTAATGGCTATACAAATCATTGCTGTCTTCTAATGAAGAAACAGGAATGCTTAACTCCCTTCTATAAAAGTATCAAGATTACATACATAACCCTTGCTAAAGTACATAGTGATGGATTTAACAAGTCTGCCTGGAAGGGGAAATTTATTTTTAATAGGTTTTGACCCTTTTATTGCTCTGAATGAGCATAATACATTAAATTAAAAATCTAGCCCAGTCTTTCAACCAGTAATAAATACTCACATTCAAAAAACCTATAACACCTTTATGCCTATACTTCAGAATAATTCCTCTTTGACTGATTGAAGCCTTTATGTCTTTGAAGACTTTATCAGGAGCAGTGAGTGTTCCCTGCTTGTTCCCATTCTACTCTATGTCTATCATTAAGCCTTAACCTGATCACTTTGGGATGAGACAACAGAGCTCCACCTTCATTATGACAGAATTAATAAACATGCCCCCCCCACGAATACTACAAAGGGCTGTGGTATAGTTGATAGAACTTTGTGGGAATCTTACAAGAGATTCTGGATAAGGAACAATGTGTTGTGTTCTCCTAGCCAAATCTTTGCTATATTTGTGTACTGTTCTATTTGAATCTAAATAAGGGTTTGTGATGTGTGTAAGTAGTCACTTCTTACAATGATGTCACAGTTGGTCACGTTTTGTACTATATCTACATACTAAGTACAGTACACTTCCGATAATCCGGCACCTTTAGGACCCAGGGGGTGCCGGATTATCAGATATGCCGGACTATCAGAAGGGGAAGCTATGAGGGGTCTGGAGTGGGGTGGGAGGGGATGCCACCCCAGGTCCCTCATAGCCCCCCCCTTACGATAGTCTGACTCTGCCCCAGGCGCCCCTGATTCAGCCGCTGCTGGTCAGTTTCAGCAGCAGCTGACTTGGGGACCCCTGGGCCAGAGCAGCTGGAGTGCTGCCGGGGTGGTCCCGCAGCACCAAAGGACGGTGCTGCGGAACCACCCCGGCAGGACCCCAGCTGCTCTGCCCCAGGCGTCCCTGATTCAGCCGCTGCTGGTCAGTTTCAGCAGCAGCTGACTTGGGGACCCCTGGGCCAGAGCAGCTGGAGTGCTGCCGGGGTGGTCCCGCAGCACCAAAGGACGGTGCTGCGGAACCACCCCGGCAGGACCCCAGCTGCTCTGCCCCAGGCGTCCCTGATTCAGCCGCTGCTGGTCAGTTTCAGCAGCAGCTGACTTGGGGACCCCTGGGCCAGAGCAGCTGGAGTGCTGCCGGGGTGGTCCCGCAGCACCAAAGGACGGTGCTGCGGAACCACCCCGGCAGGACCCCAGCTGCTCTGCCCCAGGCGTCCCTGATTCAGCCGCTGCTGGTCAGTTTCAGCAGCAGCTGACTTGGGGACCCCTGGGCCAGAGCAGCTGGAGTGCTGCCGGGGTGGTCCCGCAGCACCAAAGGACGGTGCTGCGGAACCACCCCGGCAGGACCCCAGCTGCTCTGCCCCAGGCGTCCCTGATTCAGCCGCTGCTGGTCAGTTTCAGCAGCAGCTGACTTGGGGACCCCTGGGCCAGAGCAGCTGGAGTGCTGCCGGGTTGGTCCCGCAGCGCCGAGGGGCGGCGCTACAAGACCAACCCGGTAGCACCCCAGCAGCTCTGCTCCCGGCTTCCCCGATTCAGCTGCTGGTCAGTTTCAGCCTGTCTAGCTGCCCCAGCACTTCCGGGTTCCTGATGGTGCCGGACCATCAGGGGTCCCGGAGCATTGGATGCCGGACTAATGGAGTTTTACTGTAGTTGATCAAAAACCACTGACTTAAAGTACTCAGACATTATAAATGGCTGACTTGTCTTGCTCTGAACTTTTGTTTAAAAAATAAAGTTGTTTAAGATCATTGATCTATCAGAATACATGTTTTTTTGTTTTTTTTAAACAAAATCTATTTTTAATTCTACGTGTGTACAGAAGCTGAAAATCAGTCCCTCCTTTGCTAACACCTTTGCTAATCTGTAAAGAACCAAGTTGAAAGAGCTGCATATTCCCTTGGATCAGATAATGGTTGTCATGTACTCCTAGTGCTGTGTGTGGAATACTATGCCCTCAGCACTACTGTTACAGCAGCTCTCAGTTGCAACTGGTGAAATGGAGGCTTTTAAGCCTTTTGGTAAACCGTATCGGTGGTCCTAATTCTGCCCTTGCTTATGCGACTTCAGTAAAGTCAAGAAAGTAACGAGATTACTTTGGTGTATGAACAGAATTTAGTCTGTACATAATTAAGATATTATTTATAAATATAAATAAACCATGAACTTTCTTGTGGGCAAAATCCACTTCTTCACTCAAGTTCATCTGAATAAGTGGGTTTTGCCCACGAGAATTCATGATGATGTATATATTTTTGTTAGTCTCTAAGATGCCACCGGATTATTTGTTCATGAGTTATTCATTTCATTTTTGGGGCGTGGTCCTGCAAGCCCTCTGCATGTAAAATACTAGTGATTTGAATTACAGATGAACATACAGGAGGCTTTTAATATACTCTGTATTGTGTTTTTATGTAGCTTATTTCTGTAAAGAGATGGCAGTACACCAAACGTTGCAAAATTTGTCGTCATAAACTTTCAGAGAGCTTGTATTTTATAGTTAGTTTTTAAATGCTTTATGAAAGTAATTCTCTGCCCGAAGAAATATGTGGAGATCTAACTGTTCCTTATTATATTTCTTTTTAGTAGTTCAGAAAAACACTCAATATATTTTGGTTTTTGATGGATTTGTCATCGTAAGTTGCTTCGCTTCCCTTATACTTTGCACAAGATCCATTATTCTTGCTTTAAAATTGCAAAAAGTAAGTATAACATTGTCTGCCTTTTCTCTCTAGTTATGTTTCCATTCACTTTCCATATTTTTAGTTCCACTAAGCATTTTTGATAGTCAAGTAGTGAATCTATTGTAGGAAAATCTCTCTAAGAGTAGTATATTGGACTCATATTATAGTCAACCTGATATTTAAGAGAGTCTAAGTTTATTGTATGCTTATACAATACACAATGAAGTTCTCAGTCTTGACTGGAGTATTTGCATGCTATTGTAATACTAATAAGTTCATTTCAGATGCATAGGTTGGTTCTGGCCCCTCTGAAGTTAATGCAGTTTGCCATTGACTTAATTAGTGCTGAATTTCACCTCACATCTTCAAATCCTTATTTGTTTGAATTATGCAAACCGAACACCTTCAGAATTCAAATAGGACTAACTTTTTTCCCTGTAAGTCTGAAACAGCCAGATATTTAAATGTTCCCTGAGTAAATTCCTGAGCATAGAGGGCCTCTGTGTCATGTTGTCATCCCATTGTCCCTTGATACACATGTGAAGAACACATGGGCTGTGTCTACATTGGTGCGATCTTGTGCAAAAGCAAGCGCTTTTGCACAAAAACTTGCTGCCTGTCTACACTGGCCGCAAATTCTTGCACAAGTACACTGACATTCTAATGTATTACATCAGTGCTTCTTGCGCAAGAACTCTGATGCTCCCGCTCAGGAATAAGCCCTCTTGCGCAACTGTTCTTGCGCAAGAGGCCAGTGTAGACAGGCAACATGAATTTCTTGCGCAAGTAAGCCCTATGGTTAAAATGGCCATCAGAGCTTTCTTGTGCAAGAGAGCGTCTACAGTGGCATGGATGCTCTTGTGCAAAAGCACATCTGTTGTGCAAACGTACATGCCAGTGTAGACACTCTCTTCTGGAAGAATTTTTGCACAAGAACTCTTCTGCAAAAGAGTTCTTGCGCAAGATCATGCCAGTGTAGACATAGCCTAATACGCTCCATACATCAGGAAATCTGTTAAGTCTGTACACAGGGGATGGGAGAAGAGAGCACAGGACTCATGATATCTGGTTATCTTAATCAGCATTCTGTCTTTGTAACGATCAGTAAGTTAATCAGGCGTAGCTCAGCAAACAGTTTTTTAGGCCTTGAGAAACTGAGAAAACAGTGCTGACCCATCAGCAGAGTACAGGAGAGAGTCTATGGACTGAGAGGCAGAAAGTGAAGTAGGTGATAATGAAGTAAGGATTGCGATCACGCTTTTTCAGAGTTTGATATGAATGTCCCACACGTTATTTCTACGGTATTTGCTAGGGTGTATTCTTCCAACAGATGCAACTCAACTGCTGTACTTGAGCAGTATTTAAGAACTGCAGCATCTTTATGTGCTTCCCTTTTTCTGGAGAAAAGTACATTCTGTAACCAAATCTTTAAATGTTTACTACAGAGATTTGTGAATTTCTTCCTGGAAAAGTACAAACGCCGTGTCTGTCATGCTGATCGTCTGGAGTTTATAAATGGATGGTATGTCCTGGTGATTATCAGTGATGTGATGACAATTATCGGCTCTATAATGAAAATGGAAATAAAAGCCAAGGTGAGAGTTAATGCATCTTAATATATTTTTCACTGTATTTAAGAACTTTTAGTTATGCTTGGAAAACTGAAGTTGTGATCAGTTAATTGTTTTGTCATAATGATTTGATTTGGTCTCTTCTCTTTTGGTGGTAGATTGCACTCTGCCCATACTGTCTTTTTTGGTGCCTTTTAGCACTGAAATATGGATTTTCTCTGTCCAGTGAGACCAGCTCAGTTCGGTCAAACTCCTGAGGGTCTGCTGCCCCTTCATTCTTGGAATTCATGTTTTCGTCTTGAGTACCAAACCACTATTATGGCCATAATTATGGTACTCAACAGCCAAAAAAGAAGACACATGAGCAGCATCTAGGGCCTGACTAAATTCATGGTCTATTTCACAGGCCTGGGATTTAAAAAAATAGGTTCACTGCTCAAAATTCATACTGTTTTAACTGGTTGTGGGAGGGGGGGTGTGTCCCAACCTAAAAGGGAATTGCAAATACAGTAGAATAAGTGTTACAAACTTGCTATTACTTTGTGTCAGCCTAGGCTTCAAAAGGGGAAATGATCTGCTAGTTGTGGTTGTAAACCATATTAACCAAGTGTGTGGACAGAGCCTATGGCAGTTGACTATGCCAGCAACAGGCTACAGATTAGTGTAGCTGGAAGAATTCATGACAGACTAAGGCTCTTGTTGTTCATTATGAACCATTGCTTAAATAGTGAATGAAAATTAGTTTGCCATGTGATTTTTTTTTTTTTTTTAAATTAATTTCAAAACTGTCTGTTGTAACCAAGGTGAAATGTACACAGTGCTTACAGGCTTCTTGCAAACTTCTTTATATCATAGTGCACCTTTGCCGATAGCCACAAGGCCACTGTCTTTCTGTATAAGGTACCTCTCCTGAGCAACCATATTAACTTGGCGTAATGTGACTATGACCATTAGGCACTAGAATTCATCTGAGGCCACTGACACTTTAAAATATGACCTAAAAATTTGTACCCTCGTCTACCTGCCTAGTTTAAAACTAAGGGTGTGTCTAAACTACACCCCGCTGCTGACAGAGGGATCTAGATTAGGCACTTCAAAAGTGCAAATGAGCCCGGGATTTAAATATCCCAGGCTTCATTTGCATACTCACGTTTGGGTGCTGTGCTGATCACGCGCCCTTCCGAAAGTGAAAGTAAAATCTAGCCACAGCTCTGCTGACAGCGGGGAACTTCTTCAGCAGATCCTGTACTCCTCATTTTTTCACTTTCGGAAGGGCGCGTGATCAGCACAGCGCCCGAACGTGAGTATGCAAATGAAGCCCGGGATATTTAAATCCCGGGGTCGTTTGCACTTCCAAAGTGCTTGATTTGCATCCCTTTGTTGGCAGAGGGATGCAGTCTGGAGGTAGCCTAAGGGACCTATCAACAAAAATTACTTAACTCTTCTGCCTTTTTTTTTTTTTTTTTTTTCCTCAGAACCTCACAAGTTATGATGTTTGCAGCATATTACTTGGAACATCAACTCTATTTGTGTGGGTTGGAGTCATCAGATACTTAGGCTATTTCCAGACATACAACGTAAGCCTAGAATCAAATATTCAGTAGTTGCAACTTATTTTAGTTCTGTTTTTTCGTCCAGTTTCTTTAACGTGTGTATTGTCCTCTTCTTTCTCCTCCTTCTCTGTTCTGACCTTTTGCAGGTGCTCATTTTAACAATGCAAGCATCATTGCCCAAAGTTCTAAGATTTTGTTGTTGTGCTGGGATGATCTATCTTGGCTACACATTCTGTGGCTGGATTGTACTAGGGCCTTATCATGAAAAGGTATGTAGGTATTTTCTCCTGTTTAAGCTCTTCTAAATGTCTGTATATAATTATTTCATACTCAGGGGAAGTTCTATAATTTGGGGGAGGATATTCAGTTGAAAACATAACTCGGCCTTCACGATGAAGCTGTAACAATAGCTTTAAGTTCTATATGCTAAACTATCACTGTCTTTGTGAACACAACACTAGGGTTTTAAGAAATTCCCCCACTGGTGGTCGAGAGCTGGTATGACTCCACCTCTGCTGTCAATGGTGGATGCTCTAACATAGCCTGAGGACTTGTATTTATCTCCCCTATGCTGCCTCAACAGAGTTTTACATTACTCATTGTTCTCTCCAAATCTTCTCCTCTGGGTGAAACTTGGCACAGTTGATCTTGGCCCAAATACAGGGTGACTTGGAAAGTTTAAGCAATGTCATTTCATTTTTTTTCTTTTTCTATGCAAATGCAAAATATTTGTCTTGTATTCCAAACCAAATTTTGTGTCTTCATGACTCAAATGTGAAGCTAAAGGCTTGAGCATGTTTTATAAAGTCCTTCACACAGGCAAAAGCCAGTTCAAATTTAGATAAGTCAGACTTGGTGTAATGAATATTTTAGAATCTGCATATTTATTAAAGCAATAGGAAATGTATATACTGGTTTTCATTCTTGACTAGGAGTATGTGCACTGTAACCAAATTAATGCTGCAACATAAACATTTAACTTTGATTTCTCAAACATAAAAATGTTGCATTAATTTATTCTTCACTCCCAAATTCATTTTAACTGACTAAATAATTCCTAAAAGCTTCTGCAGAAATCCCACAGTACCCTACACATCCCTCACATTCTACCATAGGTGATCTGTTCTTTTTAGCAGACACATGATAAATATCACTTTTACCCAGTCCATCAAGTAGCAAGCATTTAACAATCTGAGTAAAGAAAAGAATAGTCAATGAGCTGCTTGACTATTTGCATTGTCAAAACTTTCCTTCTTGTATGATTTTCTCGTCACTAAATGTTACAGCTCAGCTCATTTAAGATACTAGCAACTTGCCCCATACCTCACTAGATGGCAATAGTGTACTACATAGAACAGCCTGTTATAGTCACTTGCTTTCCCAAGCGTTTGGTGGCAGCTGACCCATTGCATGCTCATTTGCAGTACAGAATTGAAAGGTGATTACTCCCATTCTCTTCTGAATGCCCCAAATTGCAGCCCAAAATAGGAATGATTTTTGATTCTCCTACATACTGATCAACCGAGAGGGTCATTGAATGCTTTGTGCACAAAATCTCAATACTGTGTAGGGGTGGTACTAATTTGATATCCCACCAGCTTGACACTCCCAAAAGCAGCTCTCCCTGCTTGTCAGTGAAACTTGCTGTCTCCTGAAGTGTAGTGCAAAGGTAGAGCAGGCAGGCAAGCATAACCTCATGTGAAGGAGTGAGTAGCAGAAGATTGTTCAAAGTAAGGGGATGATAAATAGTAAAGAATTAAGAAACAGGGTGGTCCTCCCACAAGTCATCTTGAATCGGCTATCATCTACTGTACCAGCTACAGCCGTTGCCATTTAGAATTGAGTGGGGAAAAGTACCTCTCAGATTTCCTCTTAACTTTTTCATTAAAATTTAAAAATCCCAAAGTTACCCTTCTATTTCCACAAACCCTCTCTCAGGCCTCATGTAGTAAACAATCTCTCTTCAGCAGAGAAGAGATGGATTCTGCTTTTCCAATTTTGTGATAGCTCCAAGGAGTAACAGCAAGAAGGGTGAAGCCTTGCTTGTTTCTTCCACTGGTTGGCTCTTTTGAGCTGCCTTGTCAGACCAGAAGCATGAGAGCTGAATGTGGCTCTCTGCATGGCAGCACATTG